TTTCTCCACATCCTCACCAAGTTCTTTATTTTCCATTCTTTCGACAGTAGCCATCCTAATGGGCATGAGGGGGTATCTTATTATGGTTTTGCTTTGCATTTCCCCAGTGACAGTGATGTCGAGCCATGGTTAGGTTTGTCATATTAATATGTCATCTGTCTTCACCTGTGAGCTGTGCCTCTTCCATCTCATTTCTGCATGGTGTTCCACAGTTGCAACCGACCACAGATATCTTCTCATTCTACTGTTGACGGGCATTGGATGGTTTCCCATTTGGTGTGGCTGCAAAACTAATCAATAAGATACATAATGCATGGTCCCCGAGGACCATTTGTTCCCAGCTTGGACAAGCTCCACAGGCTAGGCCAGGCCAAGTGCCCCCTGCTCCCTCCTGCCCTCTGTCCCCAGGTGCCCGGGGTCCAGCCTCCTAGTATGCATCCTCCAGTGTCTGTCACAGGTGCCTGGGTCCAGCCTCCTGGTGTGCATCCTCTAGTNTGGTCCCCATTAAGTACTAACTCCCCATTCCCCGCCCCTGCCCCTGGCCGCCTGCATCCTCCTCTGCCTCTGTGAATTTGACGCCAAGTGCAGTCGTGCAGTCTCTGTCCCTCTGTGACTGGCTTCCTTCACTTCGCATAGTGTCCTCAAAGTTCACCCGTGTTGTAGCATGTGTCAGAATTTCCTTCCTTTTTAAGGTGGCATTACGTTTTATTGTATATGCAAGCAAGGATACTTCAAAAAGTTCATGGAAAAATTGAATTAAAAGATAATACAGATCCTTCCGTGAACTTTTTGAAGACCCCTCACATGCACCACATTTCCCTCATCCATTCACTCCTTGATGGACACGTGCATTGCTCCCAGCTTTTAGCTCTTGTGAATAATGCTGCTGAGAACACGGGTGTGCAAACGTCTCTCTGAGACCCTGCCTTCAGTGCTCCTGGGTACATGCCAAAAGGTGGGATTGCTGGATCGTATGGTAATTCTATTTTGCACATTTTGAGGAGCCTCCATAATACTTTCCACGGTGCTGCATTCCCACCTGCAGCGCACGAGCGTTCCAGTTTCTCCACATCCTCACCAAGTTCTTTATTTTCCATTCTTTCGACAGTAGCCATCCTAATGNTCCTCTAGTGTCTGTCACAGGTGCCTGGGTCCAGCCTCCTGGTGTGCGTCCTCCCAGTGTCTAATTTGCTTCCTCAGGAGGAGGCACCTTTGGCCCTTACAATACCTGCCGTTCTCCATTGTCCAAAGCACCCCACGCTCACCTCTGAGCTGGGTGGCAGAGGGTGTGATGAGCTCCTCTCTGTGCCCAGGGATCTTTGGGCAGCGCCTGGAGGACACAGTCCACCACGAGCAGAAGTATGGCCCCCGCCTGGCGCCGCTGCTGGTGGAGCAGTGTGTGGACTTCATCCGGGAACACGGCCTCTCCGAGGAGGGGCTCTTCCGCCTGCCGGGCCAGGCCAACCTGGTGAGGGACCTGCAGGATTCCTTCGACTGTGGGGAGAAGCCCCTGTTTGACAGGTGAGCTCCAGGAGCTGGGGGCAAGGGCAGATGAGGCCACTTATCCTTTAGTTCTGCAGGGGCTCCTCCCAGGGCTCCAGCTGCAGCGTGCAGGGTGGCCAGCGCCCAGGAAGCCTGGCAACAGGATGAGGGGCAGATGGTTGCCCATGTTGGCACATGTGTGCTCAACCAGCCTTCCCAATGGGCAGAGTGTAGGGCACAAAGTCACCCCAGCAGTCCTGGCCTGCGCTTGGGGATGGCTGCCTGCTCACATCCATTTGGGCCACTTCTGCTGCAGGTGCTCATGAACCTGCCCCAGGCAGAAGAAAAGAGGCCTCTGCTGGCTGCCAGGCTAAAGCAGCTCAGGCACGGCTGCAGCCAGCACTCCAGGCTTTCTGCAGCTTCTGTCTCTTGGCTGTTTCCTCTGTTTCCCCTAGGTTTTGTCAGTGGCAAGATGGCCAGCAGCTCAGCCCCACTTCCTCTCAGGTTTTGGGGACAGGGGCGTGAATCTCCTTCATCTGCCATGGGCCCGTGCCCCTCCTAACCCATCCCTATGGCTTACCCAGGTCCTGGGCTCACCCCCTGGTGGAGTCAACTACACTAAGAGTCCAAGTGCGGTGGGCTCTTAGGGGCTGAGAATGGGGGAGGTATGGTTCACCCCCACTCCAGGGCTGTTTGGGGGTTCGCTTCTCCCTGACCCATTGGGACAGTTTTTCTTAGAAAGTTCTTACTGCGTCAAGCCAACTCTGGCCTCCATGGAGCTTCGGCCCTTTCTTCTTGCATCTGCCCTCACAGACAAGGTCTTCCTCTGCCCCAAGATAGGCCCCCTGGTACACGCTTGCAGCTCTGGCCTTCGCAGGGTCTACTTCAGGACAGAACACCCTCAGTCCCTCCAGCTCCTGCCCAGACCCATCACCACAGCTGGGAGAGTTCCTCAGAGGTGTTCTGCCCAGGCAGGGCACAGGAGTTCCTTCATCTGGAGCCTTGTGAGGTTCTGTCCCAATGCTGACTCTCAGTGAGCTTGTGGTCCATTCTGAACCTCTGTCACCCAAGCTTCTTCCATTCTGTGCCTGTGTGACCTGGTTTTA